AGAGCAAGGGAAAGCCCGAAGTTGTTTGAAGGAGACCGTTTGTCCGGCTGGAAATTCTGCTTCTTGGTTGTTTCTGTGCCAAGCTGTATTTCAGTGGCCTCCATCTAGCTTGGGGTGAGAACCCTGGGCCTAGCAGCACTGCTGATTTTGCCCATTTTCCTAGTCAATCTGGTAGCGAGGCACATAGGTCAACACTCAGCACGCAGTTGGAAGCGGGGTGGTAGGCGGGTTTTCCAACCATCATCATGCTTTGTAGCACGGAGATGGTGAGTGTGCCGCAGGTGGGCTTCACATCGAGCTCTGTCAAAGACCCAGGTGAGCACAGGGGACCCTGCTTGTGGGTGACCTTAAGAGTACAGAGTTTTCTGCACAAATTAAACGTGCAGAGACATAAATAGATCAGGTGTGTGCATGCATGTACATACATATGTATAAGAAAATGTTTGGATAACACAAAATGAGCCCATCCTGTGTGCTGGCTGCAACGGGATTCACTGAGTCTCAGGGTACACATATCACAACTCACTTTGTGGCGGCTGTGAGCTTGGTTCCCCTCTGTTTTTTTTTTTTATAGGGCCATAGCATTAACCTAATTAATTTACTTTAATTGGAGAACAGTATTAGCCTAAACGGTCCCACTTAAATCACAGAAAAGGCATGGCCAAGCTCTTCAAGCAGCCGCCTGTCCCCATCCACCCTCCCGCAGATGGTTAACACAGCTGAGTTCAGCGCGCCCGGACTGCACCTTGGCACAACAGTCCTCCTGTCTTCCCAGGGTTTGTTTTCTGCTCTGAAGGGAAACACCTGCACGGCTCCAAGCAAGATCGGCTCAGAGCAGAGAGAGATCTCAGCTGAGAAGTTACAGGCTCCCTCACTGAGTCAAAACCCAAACCTGGTGGGAGGACTAACTCTGGAGCCCGGAGCTCCAGCAAAGCAGAGGTCCTGAGGGACCTACGCCAAGCTGACCACACTCACAAAACACTTCACTCGCACCCCAGCTGGCAGCCCTGCCCGCTCCAGCAGCGGAGGGAGTGTTTGCACAAGGTGTTTTGGAAGCCACAGAAGTGAGCAGCCCCGCACTGATTTATGCTAGAGGCAGCCATGGCACGCAGTGGCTACAGCAAGCAAGAGCCTTCAGAAGACCACAGCTCAGCTCTCGTTGCCCTGGTTTCTGCTGAGGGTGGTCTTTGGCAAAACCCTTCCCCCATGCCAGGGTCTGGCACCCAAATGAGAAAAACCTCCTTGGCATCCTTTGTCCCTTACGCTGGTAAATACAGCTGAATGTACCCCATAAGATCGTCATGAATACCACTAACCTGCTTCCTTTGAGCTTCAGAGTTGTCGCCATATCAAGGCTTATCATCATGTTTTACCACAAAAACTGCCCTGTTTCATTGTTAACTCAGACACCCAGCTTGCAGGGACACACGAGCTGTGGGCATGACTGAACTTACCCCAAACATGTGCTGGGGGTCCAGACTACAGTCCTGGGGGCTGCAGCTAATGAGCTGACTGCACACTGCAAAGCTTTCTGCTGTTCCGCCTGCTGTACTCGGGCTTTGGTGCAATAGGTGTCCGTACCTAAGGACTGGCTGATACAAGGTCAACACATCCCTCTCTCTCTATTTATATACTTATAAACAAGCCTGACCTGGCAGAAGCCTACAGATGATCAGGGTTTGTGAAACCATAATGGCCACCATGTTTTTGAACAGCATCTAGGGCCCCAGAGGCGGGTGCGCTGGGCAATCAGGCTGTTTTGGAAGAAACATCTGAGAGAAAGGCAATTCTGTATGGGAGGTAGGAGAGCAAAGGGTTTAGGGGAGGCAGCAAGTCCACCTTGCAAAACAGGCCAAGGCCAATTAATAATGAGCTGCAGCTGACAGAGAGGGGAGGATTTCAAGGGAAGAGAGATGGCAGGAAGCCTAGAGGAGATCAGAACTTGGAGGGAAGAGCAGAAAAGGCCTCCTGGGAACGAGCCCAAGGAGGACTGCTAAGGGAACTGAAGCTGGTATCTCTCAGGGGGCCTTGGAAAAGGGGACATAGGTAATACCCTGGTGAGATGCTGGTTAAGATGCGGAGTTAGGAGTGCAGAGGCTAGACAGGAATTAGCTCAAGGAGATTGCAAAGGGTGGGGAATGCACATCACAAGTACCGGAGATGGAGGTTTTAGAGCAAGATCTAGAGGAAGGGGTGAGCTAGAGTTACACTACAGAGGAGCATGAGTGCTCTGGCTGTGAGCAAAAGGGCTGCTGAGAATCTTGGGACAGAGATGCAAGACTTGCTGAGGCTAAAATCACAAGCCAAAGACCAGCTGTGTGGTCACCCACCCTTCTCTTTTGGGGGGATAGAGACCTCCAGCCAGATCACATTCACTCTCCAAGCCATAGGCAGGTCACTCAAAAGCCAAAGCACTCTCTTGGGGAGGGAAGCACCAGGGAGGGCCAATACCCCATACCAGGGCTAGCCTCAAAGGCAGAAGCTGCACAGGGAGCTCCTCTTATATGCAAAGAACCTGGCATTCATGCTAGAAAAGCTCTTGCTAGTTTGTTTTCAAAGCCATTCTCTTGCAGACATGGCCTGGGATTTGGGAGTGCTTGGGAGTGGCAGGGCTGTGTCATAGCTCGCTCTGCTCCATTCCCTCCTGTACCCCTGCCCACAAACACCCAGATGATGGCAAATGTACAAGGCCCACCAGAGGGGTGAATATAGCAGCTGTTATACTTTATTTTTTTTTTATTTTTCCTTCTGATTGAAAAAGAAAAGACAGAGAAAAGTTACAAAAGTACTAAAAGGCAACGATATTGGCAGGACGTCCCTATTCCCTGCTCCCACCCAGGCAAAGGCAGCCTGTGGGCTGGCAGAAACACGTCTCTGAGGCCAAGCACCTCGGCAGCTCTCACTGAGCAAAGCCTTGGGGTGCAGGGCCACATGGGGGCTGCCACCCCATCCATCTGCACGGGCAATGTGCCTCTTCAGACAGGTACGAGGCTACAGCTGTCCCTTCTCCTGGGCACAGGGATTTCATCCAAAGGGGCAACTCTTGATCTGGCAGCAGTTAAAAAGCTGAGGTGTGCCATCAAAACAAGATAAGCAGAGTCTCTACAGGGGCAGGAGGAATCAGCAGAGAAATCAGCCTCTGTTGGAAGAAGGGACTTCTTGCAGGGAACCATGATGCTCTGCCAGAGGTACCTCACCAGCAAACACAAGTGAGCCCTTAGAGGTGGTGCTGGTGCAAGGAGTGGCCCAGCTGTGAGGGTCTGGAGCCAAAGAGCAGGCAGAGCTGGGGCAGCATCAGGACAGATGTTCCCTCACCACCTTGCCCAGCTGCTCTGCCTGCCCAAGTGCAAGGTGGTTGGGGAGGGAGGAGGGTAGGGGTGGGGGATTTGGGTCCCCAGGCATACACAGCCTTTGGGCTTTCCCCAAGGGTCTCAATGAAGGCCCAGAAAGCACCAGTGAATGCTGGTTCACTGTGTGGCCTCTGGCTGGCAGCCAGACTGACCATTGGTCTCATCCAAAGAGTGGCATCAAAGACCCCCACACTGGAGCAGATTTAAAAACAAAAATTATTTTATATTACTCACAGTTGCTCCTCTTGATCCAGACAAGAAATAAACTACTTGCTCCCCCTTGCATTCAGCCAGATACAGGCTCAAGGCAGAGAACGCCTAACAAAGAGGTTACTCTCTCCACCAGGTGCACCAAGGGGAAAGGCCTTATTCCTCTGCCTCACCAAGAGAGGCAGGAGCTTGTTCTGCTAGCTGTTGCCTTGTGGCACAACACACATACACACCTCAAGGCCAGATCCCAGTCAAACTCCAGTGGTAGCAAGGCCTAGCATGGTCCTAACTGCCTTAGGACTGTCTATGGAGAAGTGCCCCACAGCTTCACTCAAAATCCCCTCCTGTTTCTTCTACCAACAGCTGGCGACAAAACAGAGACCTCTCTCTCCCACTTCATGCTACATCTGGGAATACTTGTTCCACTGATAGAAGAAGAGTCTACCTGAATTTAATAGCCAGCATAACAGGGGAGTCAAAAGCTTGCTGGAGACATAAGACTTGGTTGAGTTTGGTGATACCAGTTACCTTCAGCATCATGTTAGGGCAGCAGGGTATTGGGAGAATGCTATGGAGAAGTGCTGCATATCCCAGAACACAGACAGCCTCAGCAGAGAGGAGACCCAAGAGCACACAGTCACCCTTAAGTTCTTCTCTCTGATAATGATGAGAGGACTGAGGGTAGGCACTGTGTTTTCTTGGGTGGCTGAACACAGACTTTCCATTCCAGAATTTTATTCTAACCCCTGATCTACAAGTGTAAGTCTCATGCCTCCCATTTCAATCCCATTTTAGGCAATACCACTGAGATGCCAGCAGACCAGCTGGAACACACAGCCAGATGTGCCAGTTACCCCCTCCCACCTCCCTCTCCTGGGGGTCTTCCACTCAAGAAAGCTTGAAGTGAATGCAATTATAACAATCTTTGAGAGGGATCTTCTTGTTTTGCAGGCAGCCCTGTACAGCCTCTGTCTCCAGTCCTGAGGTCACTTCTGATTGAGAAGGGTCAGATCTATAGCAAAGCACTGTAGACCCAGGTACTCCTGGGAAACTGACTGGACTTGGTTTCACACCCTGATCACTCATCCCCGCTGCCACGTAGGCCATACTAGCCCCTGAACCCCTCAGGGATATCTTCAACTACCATCATCCCCATGTTTGACACTGCCTTGGTGGCTGCCCTTGCAGTTTGTGGACCTGATTGTTTTGTTTTGCCCTGAGAGACAAAAATCTCTCCCTTTGCCACTGTTCAGATACAGCAATCGTATGAAAACAGGCTCTGCTGCAAAGCCATATGCTTCCTGCTGCCAGAGAGGCTGTATTGCAAAGATGTGTCATTGTTCCCTTCTCCCACCCATCCCCTTGAGTATCACCACCTCCCCTTCTCCCTGCCAGGCAGGTGGTCGGTTGATAGTTCCTGAGGTTTTTGGAGAAACTCCTTCAGTAGGCACATGACGGTTCTTCCACTGGAGCTATCGGGCTCAGCGGTTTCAAGGTGCTGAGGGAACGAAAGGCAAAGGTGGATGGATCATACACAAAGTGGGGCGGCGGACGGCCTCCGTTGGTGCTCTGCAGGGGAATAAAGAGAAGGACAAAGTCAGTGCGCATATAAGCTGCAAACAGTGAAGTGCCTCAAGTGCTTCATCAGAAAGCTGCTCAAATGTTTGAGCTTACCCAAACAGTCATACCAAATTAGAGCGTGCTATGGAAGCATCCAAGCCAGGCCCTCAGTGCTGCAGTCACTGCAGCAAGATCTGGAAGCCTGTACCTCCAGGGTCTTGGTCACAGCTCAGCCCCATGGGGCACCCTTCATGTCAGAAAGGGCCTCTTTAAAAGCCAGTCTCAGCACCGTGTTCCTGCTTAGTTGGTACCTCCTCTGCAAATTAAGATGGGCACTTGAGAATGGAAGATGCCAACATGGTGCTTGGCATCAGCTGTGCCTGGAGTTTCAGCCAGCAAATCATGCCCTGCTACATCCCCCTGACACCTTGGCCAACAGCACAAGAAACAAGAGAGGCAGATTTAAGGGCCTTTACTCAATAGCCACCTGCTGTGGGGTTATATATGGTGTGTGCTCTGGCAAGCCTCAGAGCTGGAGGGTAACATAGCAACCCCTATTCAAAGCTAAGGGGCAGAATAAATCAGCACATTTGTCCTTCTCCAGAGCAGAGAAGGTCCCCTGCCAGTGCCAAGAGGGAATGGGAACAAAGAACCTGGCAGTCCTCTCCATTTTGAAATGCCAGACAGGATTAGAGAAGGCAGCTGAATCAGTTCATTTCTGGCGGACGGCAGATGAAGAAGAGGCTGGGGAAAGACGGGTCCAGAGGACAAATGAAAGTCATCCACAAAACTCCCCACTCAAAGCCTGGTAAGGTGCCCTGGGGTTTCTCTCTGGAGCCAATGTGTGGGGCAGAGAGCCTTGCCAGGGCACTGCAAGGGAGACGGGCGCAGGATAAAGGCTGAGGCAAAAGACAGGGATGTGAGAAGACACAGCAGGATACAGAGATTCACAAGTGGTCGGGCAGCTGCAAGTAAGGCTCAAACTGCACCCAATCCTTGCCTCTTCATCATGGCACCTCTCAAGCAGCCACAAGAAATGATTGGCTTTCAACAGTGCAGCCACCACAACAGCAGACGAGGGCAGAGTGAGAAGGGTTGTGTGTGCAACTGCAGGCAGTAACAGGAGAGGCAGTAATGCAACTGCCCTCCTTCATGGCAACACCCTGACTGATCCGCAGCCATTTATAACCCTAAGCAGTATGGGTCTGTCTTGCACCTACTCCAGGACTGACAGGGCAGCACCTCCGCTAGGGACCTTGCTGGAGGGAAGGAAGAGCACCGGCACCAAATCACTCCACTCTCTTCTTGCAGAAGAGCATGTTTTCTTCAGAGCTCATATCCTGCGCTACAGATGACCAGGCCTGATCTGGCTTAGTCCACGACACCATTTGGCATCACAGCATGTGGTGGTCTGGCTCTGATGACTAGCACAAGGCAAAGCTCTGTAGATATATTCCCAGAAAGAAGACGGATAGGGCTGGCTGCCAAAGAGGAGAACACGTTCCTCCCACCCCGTCGCTTGGGCCAGCTGCCTCCCTGTAGTTTGGGCAAGTGTCCTAGCCAGCCTGCCCTTCCCCTTGGGCGCCCAGCACCAGCCTGCGATGCCTGGGACATCGCTTTGACTACGGAAGGCTGTTAAGAGTTGTTGCTGCTGCAGCAGGCCCCCAGGGAGCTTGCCATAAACCTGCCTGACAGCCCCTGCAGAGGCTTCTCAGAGCACAAACAGTCCACGCTTGAAATTAAAGGCCGGTGCGTTCACTCTAATGGCATTCGGGCAGCTGGGTAACTCGCACAAAATGGAGCCTAATATGGGCCCTGCGCTAATGGCAATCATTAACCAGAGCCCTCAATTTGTTAAGCAATGTATTTACACAGCTGGAGAACAGCCTGAGATACAAACCCTCGGCTGCCGGCAGGAGGGTGCACACGTTTGGATGCGTGCTCTGTCACACACACCCATGCTCACCTGCTCTCACGTGCCTCAGGTTCTCCCCAATACACACGCACGTTCCTGGTCATTTGTCCACATCCCTCTGTGCACACACAGACCTCCTGACGTGGGAATCGCAAGGAGAATTGTCCCCGCTCGTACAAATCTTGTCCGCTCACATCATAATTCAAGACAAGCAAGGCCCAAATTCCACCAGCATCCAGGGGACAGTCCAAGGGAGCACAGCTCATCACTTGCTCATGCAACTGCCTGGAGCAGAAGGTAGTTTCAGGACCTGCAGACACCCATGCTGCCTCACTGTACGCCTCTTTTGAGTTAGAGGAGCGCCAAAGGAAGCTAGCTTGTGTTACACACGTTTCAAGCAACTATGCGCAGACCACCTCGGTCACACGTGCTTGTCAGCATGCACCCAGACACATAATTCCCTCATATATACATGCCTCCATATACACCCTTGAAAATCTGTACTGTAGTCACCAATTGCATTATCACCATTAAATACAGGTGGTAAATAAGCAACCAGGCTTGAAACATACCTGAAGCACATTAACAAAGAAGTACACTTAATGATGGTACAGATAAGTGACTGGATGTAGGTGCCTCAAAGAAGACAAGTGAGATTAAACACCACAGCAGAAATGCAGAATTTGAATCATATTAGCAGCCCTCACAAAACAGAGAAATAGGCAACTGCTCCATAAATCCATCTGTAACATAACTATGTTTCAGCAAGGAAAAAGTACATAGAAAGAAGATAAACAGGTAAACATAAGTCTACTAATACAAACCCACATTCCTCCTAGAAACCCATCCCTTACCCCTACGAAGTCTGGGAAAATATCCCAAATACAGATTGTGAAATAACTTAATTTTGGACTCATGATTCCACAGAAGCATGGTTGTCTTCTTCGGACAAAGCAAAAGCAAGCACAGCTCCAAGCATGCTTTCAGCTGTGGGAATGACAGTCCCCACAGGAGGGGGGAAATGAAGTTACCTAATGCAACAATGTCTTAGAAGGGAGTGGTGTGCTAGGGGTGACACAAAACTAAGCCCTGCGTTAATACTCTTTGGTCCTCTTTCATAAGAGCTCTAGTATCCTGGCAGGATTCAAAATCGGATCAGCTTGCGCACTCTGCCAACCCGTCCCCTACTCAGGGCCAATCCAACACAGGAGTCCCTTCTTTCCTACCCTTGGGGCCCGGCGGTTGGGAAATGCTGCTGAGCTCTGTTTAAAGGATGCTGCCTTCCAGTGGTGGATGCCTCTTGGTGGTGGGTGAATGATCCCTCTGCAGTCTGTAGACTCACTTGTTAAAAGTCCTTTGGGATGAAAGGCACCATGTAATTGCAAGTTGTAAAGGCGCATCCGATTCCCACCACCACCCTGTGTGGAAAGGAATAAATAAATCCCCAGAAGAACCTTGGCAGAGACGGATGCCTGCCTGCAAAGCTGCCTGTTTACGAGACAGTCGCCTTGCCCAGGAGTGGACAGAGCCAGAGGTAGTACCGATATTCAGGCAGGGCACAGAGAGTAAAGGCTGTCTGACTCCACAGTGGAGCATTTACAGGTACACTGCTTTTAATTCCACTTTGTCCTCCTTCCTCTCACCCCTGCCAGGTGGTTAGAAAAGAAACTGGTGACATTTCAAGTTTGATGTGTGAAACCATCAGCTGTGAGCAAGGGAAGGGGACCCTCATGCCTGCTGCTAGCTACATCTGTAATTCTGGACACGGTCCTGACCAAGCCACTTCCCATCATCTCTGCCTCTGTTTCTCCTGTGCATAATATGTACATCACAGCCAGGATGAACTAATTAACATCTAGGCATTGTGACCTTCTGATGAGAGGTGATTTCCTTTCAATTACAGTCTCGCTTCTGGCAGTTTTCAAGAAATAGTGACTGACAAGCAGGACCAGCTCCTCCAGTAAAGCAGCAATTCACATTTAACTGCTTCTTCATTAACTCCAACAGGGCCTGTGACAATTTATTCCAGTCACAAACCTCAAGCAACTGAAAGAATAACTTTTCAAAGGCAAACCCCTTCCCTCCAGAAAGTCTCGCCTCCACCCCCGGGGGTTCATATGCAGTTTAATTTCAGGTGATAGCTAGAACATAGACCATAACAGAACTTCATTTTAAGACTACTCTTCTCCCTTTTCTTCCAAGAAAAGGAAAGGTCAACTCCAAATGCTGCTCTGGCAAGGAAAACAAGAACTTTGCAGTTAGCCCTGTTTTCCTGTGTTCTCCATCACCCTTCCCTAAAAGGCAGAAAGGCCTGTCTTCCTCCACCAACATAAGGCTGCTTAACACCTACTTCCTTCTATGCAACCACATTGCAAAGAGCAGTTCAATAGTTTACAAACACATCACTGTTGTTCTTAGAATGGAAAAAAAAGAAATTAAAAAAATATCTATCAAACACTTGCAGTGTGTGCAGAGAGTTGTCAGATGGCAACTACCATACTTAGAGAGGTGCCACCAACATTGAACTTTTTTGGAAGGTAGTTCAAAGGGCCTAGCAGATGCTTGCTGGTCACTTGCCCAAAAGCAGAAACAGGCCAGTTTCAGCTATGGGTCCTTGCTGGCACCAGCATGATAAGCCTTTCTTCTCCTCTCTCTCACACATCTTTGAGAAAACTGCCTGCAAGCTTTGATTTTGCCTGCCTGACAATCTGAAGGAAGGAGGCTGCAGAATGAAAAGGGACAGATAGGTCATTCTGAGGGGCAGGTTATCAGTGCTCTCTGGCCAACTTGGGGAACTCACCACTCCAGGATCCCAGTGAAGATCATGCTCTGAAGGCCACACAGATCTCTTAGGAACAAGTGAATGAACCCACATCCCACTACTAGTGAGCTGTGTCTTGTCCCTGCTTTTTCTCCTTCTGACACAAAATGGCCTACTCTTCCCTGCACACACCACAGGGTCCATGTGTGCCTGAGTGGGAGGAGGAACAGGCACAAGAAGAGCTCCAAGCAAGCACAGACACAGACAAGGCATGATGTGGCCCTAAAATCTCTCAACCGCATCCGAGTAGGGTCCTTAACAATTTTGGTCTGT